TCACGCTCCCTGAGTAGGACTCAACAGCGGACACAAACATTTGCACTGACAACTGGTTAACTGAGCAGAAGCTTGTCAATCGAAATAAACTGCCGGTCATCTAGGCGCAATGTCTTTGCCTGCTTTAATTTAAATTGTGGTACTGTTAAGGACAGTTATTTTTGAGAAGTCAAGTTTGGCTAACATATGTTTTCAGCAAATCATCATCAGGCCAAAACATTTGCAGGGTAATGAAAACTGTACAGTTGGACATATGTTTGCCAAACTTGACTTCTCAACTTAAGCATGGGAATATAATTGCAGAACTTAGATTGTTATTATTGAGAAGAAGACGAGTCGATCGCTGGGACAATCCTTTTATTCGCCTGACGTTTTGAGATCCGTCGCGGATTCTTCATCAGAGACATAGTCAAAGCGCAGTAGCAGAAACGGGTAATGCATGCACAGGGGTTTGCAGTATTTAAATTTTAAAGTCATTGCTGCGAACATACAACGAAAATTAACGTTAATTGCCTTCTTGTGCGTGGATAGAGGGCCCGCATGACCTCCAACAAACTATCCACGCACAAGAAGGCAATTAACGTTAATTGTCGTTTTATGTTCGCAGCAATGACTTTGTCCTATAAATACTGCAAACCCCTGTGTCCTGTGACGGATCTCGAAACGCCAGGCATCGATCGACATCAACGGGTGATTATAGTGCTGGAACTTAAAATGGCAAACTGTCATAAGCATGCGAAAAAATGTTTCTCCACACATGACTGTTCACGCCATTCGCGGTTTTTTCTTAAAGTACTTTAAACACGCCTCCTCATTTATGTCAAACACTCCCATGGAGTTCATCGGTTCTTCAGCAACCTTGACTGATTCATTGAAAATTACAATATACTACCGACACAAAATGGCACGAGACATTTAAGGGCACTTTCTATGTCAATAATTACTGCCACATCACATGCAATAGAACTAAATGTAATAATAAGAATCTCGACTGCAAACAGTGGCACTTGAACGTGCTCAAGAGGTATCAATTTGGCATTCTGCCTCCTCGCGGGGCGGATGCGCCGGTGCTTCTCTCTCACACGGCG